ACACCCCAATATCTTAGTTTCCCAAAACTTCACTCTTCAGATAGAACAGGAAATATGTTTTTTCCCCTTGTTCCTGTTAATGAGCTCCTAAAATGCCTGGAATTTCTTAAGTGTAGGACATATTTTGATATTAATATTAAGCCTTTTTGATAACTCCTGAGTTTATGCTGTTGCAGTTACTCACGATGAGCCCCCACCCTAGCCTCGAGAGGGCTGTAATTGATGCTATAAAATGGAACTCTTAAATTTTTTTTTTTTTTTTTGCTGAGGACATAGCAATTCCTATTTATCCCCTTTTCTTTAGTCCAAAAGAAGTGACAGAATATGCAGATGCCAGCTCTCAGAAGCTATTGAGCCTTGTTTTTCACAAGAAAGCAGAATGAGCTGAAGATGAAAATAACTAGAAGTGATACAGCAAATATAAAGATCTGCATTATTTCTCTGTGCCTCCTCCCATCTAGTCAGACCTCTGTATTCTCTGTAATGTTCTTCTTATAAGCTAGCACATGTTCCCTGAGTTCTGTAAGCTGGGGGTGGAGTTTGACTTTGTCTTCAGGTAGGTAACATCAGAACTGGGAAACACCAGGTGAAGAATCCACAGGACTGTTTGGTGCAGGAACCACTCTCCAGTCCCCACTACAAGCTACTGTAGAGGGGGAAGCAGCTTGATTTTATCTCTTCATCAATCTTTTGATAAGGCCTATAGTATAGGAGGGCTAATGGGGTGGGCCAGGCTGGTGAATTTCTTTTTCTTGGATAATGATCCAAGCACTTTACAAACCTTAAAGAAGAACCTATTGAATGTGAAATTATCTGTCCAGTTGTAGCTACAATAAGGTCTTTAGCTTCAGATAAAGAGATAAAGAGGCTTATACATGTCTTTGAGAGAATGAATGGATCGTAATTCAAAAGATTTGTTGTAAAGACTGCCCCCCAATAAATGCAATCATGATATACTACAAATCTGTATCCCCCCCCAAAAAAATAATAAAACAAAGGTTTATTGCTTAGGACTATTTATAGGAAATGTCTTTAACTGAAGTTAAATTTCCTTTGGTAAGAGTTTTAATCCTTTTCATTGCCAAGGGTAGATACTACATTCACTCCAGTGTGCATTTTATGTACACCTTCAGATAACACTGTGAACTTCATGTGTGGTGCAGGTCCTTACGATACATGACATTGTCACTTCTGACTCTGGCCAACTAGAACAATGACTTCCAGACACTAGAGATTGACTAATTACACTGGATAATGTCCAGGAATCTGTATTTTTAAGCTACTCCACATTCCCTAGACTTCTCTTCCCATGATTCTGATGCTTAATTTGGAGGCCACTGGGCGGGAGGTTTCTAAAAGAACAGAGGTATTGAGATAGGAGGGATGACCCTTAATTGGTTGTCAAAGAAAGAAGACAGCCTCAGAGACCAAGTTATGCTGTGCCTATCAGGAGGTGCCGAGAATACACAGGGAGACAAATGGAATAGTTGAATAGTTTTTGGGGCTGGGAGTGGAGGGTAGGAGTGCTACTAATGAACGAGGGGTTTCTTCTTTTGATGACGGAAATGTCCTAAACTTCCATCATGGTGATGGTACAGCTATGACTGGACCAAACTCTCTGGTTTCCATACCTTAAAAGGGTAGCCTATGTGATAATATAAACAAAAACTTTTATAGACCAGGAGATTATACAGAAACCATTGTTCATTTTCTGTTAGTTGATTCTAAATACCCTGTAATACTCTCATTCTCTTGAATGGTTTTACATTGTCTTGATATGTTTGATGCTACAGTATACGAGATTATATCCAAAGATTTTAATGGAAGAGACACTATGGTAACTACTATTATGTCGAGATTATCTTGTGGTGAAACACTATTTTGCTTAAATGGCTATGTTTTGACCTGCACTGCTTTGTTGTTATGCCCTCTTTTTTATCTCAATCTCCTTTTCATTATCTACTTTTTCATTTTTATCCTTTTAATTAAGGGAAAAATAAATAAAAAATAGCAGGATATATTTTAGTAACCCACTTTGATTTCCTATTAACTTGATTTGAAATTCTGTATTGCTCTCACCATCTTGCTTTGACTGATTTTCCTCTATTCTGTTATGCTAGGTAGTACCAAGTTTGAAAGTCTAGGCAACAACTATGAAGACAATAAGATCCATTGTGACGCCCATTCTGGTTGACTATTATCTTCTTTTGAAGTCCTCTAATGTCTCCAATGTTTTGGTTTTATTGGCCTTATTCTTTACTGTTTTGTTCAATTTTATTATAACTGATGATATAGGCAATTCTTTTTAAGATAACGAGGCATTATGGTAACCATTGTTGATCACCTTGTATTTTGTTTTTACATTATGTATTATGTCCATCCTTTTGATTTGACTGACTCTGTCCTGGTATGTCACATTTGGTTTTACTTTCTTCAAAAAAAAAGTAATAAGAATTGTGGGAGTAATAAACCCCAAAATGTGTAATTGTCATTGTACAAAAGAAAGGAAAAGAAAGTTTTCTAAAAGATATAACTGCATATTTATTTAAGTGTATAAGATAGATAACCATATTACTGAGTTTTGTTGGATTATTGAACAAAACTGTTTGCAGTCTCACTGTTTGAAAGTCCCCTCTATATGCTTTAATTTTGTAACTTCAACAACTATTTCTAAGATGACAATATGCAATTAACTAGTGATTTCCTACTGTTTATTTTTTCTGAAATTCTGTGTAACTTCTACCCTTTTTCTGTTTTTTTTTTCTTTTTTCTCCTTAAATAAAATTTAAAAAAAAAAGAAGGGTAGCCTTAAAGGTGTTTTAAAAATAGGCAATAAAAAATGGAGAAGACCAAAATATTTATTCAAAATTAGGAAAGGATAGTTGGGGGATCAAGGAGAAAGTGTAAACTGGAAGCTTAGAAAAATACTTTTTTAAAAATCTTTTTTCTTTATTTTATTCAGACATATAAACACCTGATAATCTAGGTACCTGAGAGACTCCTGGAACTTCCACAACTGGAATACTATCCTGTAAAAGAAAAAGGCTTAAGAGAAGGTTCAGCAAACACTTGTGCTAAAGTCAGGTCCAGGACCCCATGGAGATAGTGTGGCTAGAGGAGACTTTTAAAATAAATGCTGCCAGGGACCAAAATTCAGCGAAATGTTGGAAAGGAATTTTTTTTTTTATTGGTACCAGGGATCAAACTCATGTCCACACGCTTGCTAGGCAGGCAGTTATGCCACTGAGCTAAATCCCCAGCCCTGGAAAGGAATTTTATTGTGAAAAAATCAAACTAAACTTTACATTTCACAAATTTTAGGAAATAATCCCAACTGCAATAACTGATGTACTCCCCATTGGCATAGGCTCAAAATATGCATAGATGCAGGAATACAGATAGGAAAACAGGCAGCCTTTGCCCACGTTTCCCTTGTACACAGTAATATTAGCAAGGCTCAGTTTTGTAACACTAATAAAAGGCTGAATCATTTTCCCTCTGTGACTTTCTCAGCTCTTTCAAATTTTATTCATTCTTTTTACATGATCCCTACAGCTTTCCTACATGGCTATAATGAAGAAGAGGATGGTGTATTTTAAAGGATGATCCTGTCTCCCAGGACCCCACTAGTTTCTGTCCTGGCTGAGCATACTCTTGACCCCCTCTACCAGCCTAGGCCAACGCTTTGATACACTAGTGTGGGGCCAAAGCCTCTTTCATTTTAAGTTAGATTCTCTACCTGAGACTGGCTGAATGGCTAGAGTTATACACCTGCCGTTTTTAATAACTGCCTTTGTTTTGGACTTGTGTTTCTGCCACCAGTTTAATAAAGACCTTTGTGACACCATCTTCAGGACTCAGAGGTTATGAGGTACGAGCCTCTCTGAGCCAGGCCAACCAAATAAAACCTTTCTCTACCTTGCCAGAGTGCACCTCTGTTTCCTTATGCCATCCAAAAAACCCATATCCCATTTTCCACAACTGGTCTGATTCTTTACTGACCTTAGCTCTTATCATAGCAGTCTACAATAGTTTTCACTTTTCTTGTCAACTCTGTTCCCCAGAAAATGAGTCTTGGTAAAATAAAGTATCTCTTTATTGGGGTGCTAATTCAAATCTGACTCAATTTGAAAAGAAAATCATCTATTCTCAATGCGTTAGAAGTACTGTAGTAAGGTGGCTGGTAGGGCACAGGTTGGAGGCCAGGGATGAAGTGTGTTTAGGAATCTGCCATGGGGAGGCCCGCCTAGAGAAGCTGAGTCCTTTGCAAAGCTGTTGGCTCAGTTGAGTGTGTCTAATTCCAAAGACCATGGTCTTTTACAATTACATTTTACTGCATTCCTTGGGAAAAATTATTCTTTAATGTATCTTATAATTCTTAAATCCATGGGGATGTTGAATCAAATAATAAAACAATGGTATATGCTTTTTTTTCTTCACTCATGATATAAAGGGAAAAAAGATAAACCTCAGGCTGTCTCATCTCAAGCTCTGGTAAAGTATAACTTATAGCTTTTATGTCACTTATTCTCAAGGCATCCTAGACTAGGTCATATTGCTATAACTGCGCATCACACCTGGACTTGTGTGATGTTGATTGATTTGCAGGAGCTCTGATACATCAGCAGATTCATTTGATTCCTGTGACAGCCCTGAGACAAAGTCCTCATTGTGCAGTAGACCTGGGGTAGAGTCTGAAAGGCAATCAGGCAGAATTATGTGGCCTTAACACCCAGCCCAGGTCTTGTGCTATACTGCTTCCAGGTGAGCCTGTAAACACCAGCTTTCATAATGACTGCAGGACAGTTTACTGTGTCCTATTTAAAGGATATATGTTGATGAAATTTAAAAGTTATAGTGCTTAAAAACTGTACCTTAACAGTTTCTTATACATTAGGTAGCAGTATTGTCTTTTTATGAGCCAGTAGTTGGTTAATATTTAAGTGGATCAGTTTACAATGAAAACCTATTATAACATACTTTTTCTTTTCCAAACCTAGTGTCTGTAGAAGCTGCAGCCCATCCCAATCCTTCAAAATGCAGTGGAATGTACTACGGACTGTGTCTTGGCTGGCACCCAGGATGTGCTTGGAGTCACAGACAGCTGGGCTTTTTGGACACCATCAGCATGTGAAGGGACCATTACTTTTACACCATGCCAAGTCCAGAGTGGTCTGGGCACAAAGCCCCCAGGAGCAGTTGCTGCACTCATCTGTACCCCATTGCCGGGCAGAGGAAAGAAAGCCACTGGCAACACAGCCTCCTCGGCCCGGGGTCCTTTGCCATGAACAACAGTTGTGGGATGTTTCATCTACCAGGGGCTTATCATCCAGCACCACTCAGGCAACGCCTTCAGATAAAAAGGAGGAGCCTGATCCTTTGCAAGACAAATCTATTGGTCTTTATCAGCGATTTAAGAAGACATTTAGACAGTATGGGAAGGTTTTGATTCCTGTGCATCTAATAACTTCTGGTGTTTGGTTTGGAACTTTTTATTATGCAGCTATAAAGTAAGTTTTTGCTTCTTTGGCCACCTTTGTTTATCAGTGTTAATTTCCTTTGTTGTTCTGCTGATTGAAACCCTTAAGTTTTTTTAAAATGCTTTTATATCTTTCTTTGATAGAGAGCAACTACTCTCTGAAGCTATTTTTCATGTTTTAAGAACGTGAACAGCTAATGCTTGCTGTGAAAGGGAATTGTGCTAAACGGTTCCCTGTGGCTCGTCTTGTTTAACCCTCAGTAACCATAAGAAGCAGGTGGTATAGTCTTTCCCACCTAATGAGTGAGGAGACAGTCTAGGCCAGCTGAAGTAGGAAGAACTCGGGGCAGGGGAGGGGTGGTGGGATTGGGCTGAAAACCCTGTTTGTTAGCTCTTCCACAGGTACAAGGACCATGGAGATGAGTACTGATCTTAGAAACTCGCCAGCACCACAAATTCTGTACTTACATATTTCTTAGAGTGTTTATAAATGTAAGCAAATAGCTCTTTTGCTTTATGACCGACTAGAGAGGGAAATTCATGAAGTACCTCTTGGCAGAGCCTGGCTTCTATCAGGAAAACAAAATATGAGCAGGTCTCAAACATGCCTTGATACTGCTTACTTCATGACTTCAAAGTCAGGCCTTCCAAAGTACCTGGTGGCTTGATCTCCAGTGCTGTGGAATATAACATTTTAAATGCATCATTTTTAAATATGGTACCTTCCTCCCAAGTAATACATGCCATGTTGCTTAGGAGCAGGGATACTGGTGCTCTGCCCAAGCTGTACTCAGCTCCTGTGTCAGCTCTTCCTCTGTGTCCACTGTCGCCATACTTTCCAGAATGCACTGCTATTCAGTGATGATACTGAATGCCTGAGGTGAAGGCATTGATGGACAGAGCAGTTGTCAGTGACTTACCCACACAGAAGTTTTTCACTTCCCAGGATGGTCCTTGGGAAGCACAGGCTCCCAGCACTGTCTGACCTGGCGATTGCTTCTGTCCATCCCTCTGTTCTGCTGCGCTGCTCACTGTACCATTTGCTGTGTTTCATCTTTAGGAACTGTGCCTCTCTTTGTGGAAGATTCAGGGTGGATGTCATAGAATCACTTTAGAGTATATTTGATATTTATAAAAGTCTTTTGAATTGCCCTTAGTTTTTTTTAATTATTTAAGTTTATTGGTAGATTTTAAGTATACGAAAAGATCACATTCTCATAGGGAATTTGTGCTTGTACAACGTGCTTCTTTTTCTTCCCATTCCCCTACCCTCCCTATTACCCCACTTCTCCTTATTTACAAAAGCTTTGTTTCCATTTTTTCCTCCTTTTTTCATTTTTTCTTTTTCCTCCTTTTCTCCCTCACCCCTCCCTAGTTGCCCTTTCCATTTGAACATTTTCTTTGTATTTAACAATATCTGTTGTACATTTTAGTCCTTATTTACACTTTCAGTTTCTCACACCAGAGAAACAGCATGGTATTTACACATGTATGTCCTATTTATTTCACTTAAGAATATGGTCTCAAGGTGCATCCATCTGTTAGAAATGTCTGAAGTTTGTCCTTCTTTATAGTAGAGTAGTACTTCATTATATTAAAAAGTATATTGTCTTTATCCATTCAGTGGTAAAAGAGCATTTGGGCTGTTTTTAAGATTTAGCTATTACAAACTTGACCACTATAAGCATGGGTGTGCATATATTGCTGTGGTATGATACTTTTAATTCTTCTGGGAAGACACTAAGAAAGGGAATAGCTAGATCAAATGGAACCTCTAGTCCTAGTCTTTTGACGAATCTCCACACTGATTTCCACAGTGGTTGTACCAGACTATATTCCCATCAAGAAGAGTTCCTTTTTCTCCATAGCCCTGCCAGCATTTGTTACTGGTTGATTTCTTGATAGTAACCGTTCTTTCTGTGGTGAAATGAAATCTCGGCATTGTTTTAATTTTCATTTCTCAAATGACCAGTGATTTTCAACATTTTTTAATATATTTGCTTGCCCTTTGTCATTCTTCATCTGTGAAGTGTCTATTCTTTTCAGATGTTCATTTTTGGATTAGGTCTTTAAATTTGGGGGTCTGGTCCTTTTTTTTTTTAATTCTTTATATGTTCTAGATAGTAGTCCTTTGTCTGAGGAGCAGCTGGTAAAAATTTTTCCCCACACTGTTGGTTGTCTCTTCATTCTGTTGGCTATTTCTTTTGCTGTGCAAAAAGCTTTTTAATATGAGATACCAGGTGTTGATTCTTTGTGATAGTTCCCATGTGATTGGAGTTTTGTTTATAAAGTCTTTGCCTACACCAGTGCCTCCAAGTGTTCTACCTATACCATCACCCAGGAGATTTGGTCTTTCTGTTCTAACATATAATCTTTGATGCATTTAGATTTTAGTTTAGTGCATGATGAAAGATACAGGTCTAGTTTTAATTTTAAAAACAATGTACATTGTATATTAGTGTCAAAGGTAGGTCACCAAGTATGTCACTTTGTTGGACTTATGAACAAATCCAGTTTATAAACACTCTCCTAGAATGGAACTCATTTGTAAGTCGGGGACTTACTGTACTTAAGTATCCCTGCTTTACAGAAATGGTCTACCCTGTTGTGAATGTTAAAGGCAGGAGGAAAAATCTGAAGTCTTGAATGTGAATTGGAGCATTCTGAGGAAGTTGTATTGAGTGAGGGGACAAAAGTCGGGTAAATTATTCTGACCCTGTTTTCTTAGTTTAAGGTTATTAATTTTGCTCTAGTGTTTCTGCTCCCTCCACACAGGACACACACTAGTACTAGGCATTAAACCTATGACCTTGCACAACTGCACCAGCATGTTACATTATTTTCATTTTACGATATTTTATGTTATAAAATAAATATGTATTTTATGTTATGTTATTTTATTTTAAGACACATCGTCTCATTAAGTTTTCTAGGCTGTTCTTCAACTTGTGATTCTCCTACCTCTGCCTTACTATCTAAGTACACTAATATCTCATGCAGATTGTAAGATACAACTGAACATTGATGCCTCTGGGCATACTATTGTACTTCAAATAAGATATTCTTAGGGTGAAATTAAAGTGTTCAGTAATGCAGAATCAACTTAACTATAAACAAAATATAACTAGCACAAAATACAGTAATAATCTCTTGAAGATATTTATCCTTAAAATCTTATTTACTTGAAACTTTCTTTCTTTCCTAGAGGAGTGAATGTTGTTCCTTTTCTAGAACTCATCGGGTTACCTGACAGTGTTGTGAACATCCTGAAAAATTCCCAGAGTGGAAATGCCCTGACGGCCTATGCCATGTTCAAGGTGGGTGCTACCAGCTCATTCCACAAAGAACTTTTGTGAGCTCACAGTGCTTATTTTTAAGCTTAAAATATTGTATTTCACCCTTCACATAATGTTTTCAAATGTTAATACAATGAGGCTTCAGGAGGAGGTGCCTTGTACACAGGCTTCATCCTCCCCAGCACCTGGCTTATGTGACCAAGATGACAGTCACACTCGTGATGTTTCCCCTGTTAATGTTTTGTTTTGTTTAATCATAGCTTCATGCCACCCAACTTCTTAGTGACATTTAACATTTATTTTACTGTTTCTAGTAGTTCATCTTTTCTTAGTAAAGTCGTAAGTTTAATAAAACACAAATTATTTTCTGTGATGGCCCTTAAGCCCAGGAGTTAGCTGTGCTTTCAGACATTCATAGCATGACTGTCTTCTAGATTCAGACATTATAAAGTTTCTACACCTATGAGTCTTTATTTTAGAAGGAAAGACTCATTATAAACTGTGTAATTTAGCCACTTTAATGCCATTCTTCACAACAGACAACAATCTCATAAGAGTCTATGATGCTTCTATTTAAGAAGGAAAACAAGTAGAAAATGCTTTGTCCCTAGATGTTATTTGATTTTACTTCTGTTGTATAAAAGCTTCTAGAATTGCAGTTTATAGTGTTACTCAAAAGTAGCATTATTCTATTCTGCCATCCCTATTAGAATCCTCTGGAATGCTAGGATATTCTCTCTTTGGTTGTACTTTTGTCTAGAAGGCTAAAGTGTTAAGCGTTAAAATGTGTTGAATTAATAAATTATCAAGTTCCTAGTTATAGAGAGCATGCTTAAACTTGCTAATCCAACTGCCTAATAGTAATGTAACTGACTGTGCCTACCTTTCTGTGATCCACAATTCAACCCTGTCATGCCCAGGCCTTGTCATGCCCAGCCCTGTCAAGACCAGGTCTTGAAACTTGACGGGGGTTTTTTGGTTACATGCAGCCCCTGGAAATTGAGGATCCTACCTTCCTCCCATGTGTTTGCACCAGGTCTGGGGGGTGGTGTGAGGCTGTGCGTGGAGGCATGCTGGCACACTAGTATCCATCTATAGATGTGTGGGCTGTCCTGCGTACTTCGAGGAACCCATGTTCTGACAAGCAACCGCATCTCCTGCTGCCTCCTGCAAAGCCTGTTCAGGGTTTGGCAGAGGTGAGGTGGAAGAAGGAGGGTCCTGGGGCTGGTGGGGCATCAGGTCATCCTATCCCAAAGCTCACTCGCATGTGACCAAGGATGCATCTGGGCTAGGTCGTATGAGTACAGACATTCACAGAATATGTACAGAAGAAAGCTGCTCTTGTGAGACAATGAAGAATTTACACCGACTGGTTATTGCTTAGTACTAAACCCCAACTTAATTTTAGTCATAATCACATGTTGACCTGCCTGGTTGCTTTCTTTTAAAGATTGCAACGCCTGCCCGATACACGGTGACCTTGGGAGGAACATCCTTCATGGTGAAATATCTACGTGGTCGTGGCTACATGTCAACTCCACCACCAGTCAAGGAGTATCTGCAGGACAGGATGGAGGAGACCAAGGAGCTCATCACAGAGAAGATGGAGGAAACCAAGGACAGACTCACGGAAAAATTGCAAGAAACCAAAGAAAAAGTTTCCTTCAAGAAAAAAGTGGAATAGGGTGCCTTATATAACACAACTTACAAATATTTTCTACCCTTTAACCCTCTGGAGCTTTAGGCGAAGATACATACTTCTGATTTTTTTGGTTAGTTGCTAAAAAATACCAGTTTGCTGAGGGTTAAAGAACTAGAATACCTTTTTAAAGTTAAATATTATCAGAAAAATCAGTGTTTTTTTTAAAGACGTGAACCCAATATGAGAACATTACATTGTAGAAACAATAAGCAGTGGCTAATGTCTTTCTGACCAGGGCTGTCTTCCCCGATCTGCAGGCACACTTGTGCTGCTGTCTCCCACCTGCTATAGTGTGTGCAGGCAAGGAAGCTGGCACTGGGTAACTGGTGTGGCATGCCCGCAGCCAGGCTGTCGACACTGGGTCATACACGGTCTTTCTGTTATTCACTAGGATTTAATGCATCCACTGCTCAGTGGGGAACTAGCTTTCACCCCCAGGCTCTCTGTGAATAGGAGGAGAATTTAGTCTTTCTATAAAAAGCATCTAACACTTTCCTACCATGGAAAAGAGACATTGTATGAAGAAAGTTGAATAAAAATTCAGTCTTGTGTATGCAGATTAGATGTATTGGTTATATGTAAATGAAAAACAAAGCCTTCAAGTTTTTACCTGAAGCCTGTCAGTTACATTTTTAAAGCAAATACATGGCCATAGTACTTTTTAAGGGTTTATGTCAGTAGTGGCCACTAGAACATTTTTAAAATCATTTGTTGCTGCTTTAGCTGACCTTTTGGAAGAAGAGTGACTCAAGCATGAGGTTTTCCAGCCCCTGGAGGCTTGGGCAACCCTGTGGTGCCATGCTGCCATGGGGAGAGCTGTCCCTGCCCAGGAAGTACTGCACTCAGCATAGCCCTGTAGTTTCCCAGCATCTTCATCTGAGTTACTATTAATTTATTATGGAGTGAATCTTAAAATTGTGGCCTCTGTAGGCCAGGGATTTAGCTCAGTGGCTGAAGCGCCTGTCTGGCAAGTGGAAGGTCGTGAGTTCAATCCCCAATGACAAAAAAAAAAAATGGCCTCTGTGATTTCTCTTAATAATGAAGGAAAATATCATTGCTCAGGCATTTTACTTAATTGTATTAACATGCTCCCAAAAGAGCTGTGATTTGTATGTCTCACTTCCGATTGGCATTCCATTGTCTAGTATTATATTGCTAACCACCAGTAGTTCAAGCTGCTCGGTGGGACAGTTATCCATATACCACCAGTGGTTCAAGCCAGCAGGAACATGTTAATAGCAAACTTGCTATTAAAGTATCTGCTTCAGCCAGGCCTGGTGATAAATGCTTATAATCCCAGCACTTGGGAGACTGAGACGAGAGGATTGGAAGTTTGAGGCCAACCTGGTTACACAGTGAGATTTTCTCTAAAAAATAAAATCAAACTTGAAAATTAAATTTAGCAGTTGTCAGAGAGGAAATTAATGGGATTCTGGGAATATTTTGCATTAACAGCTTTTACTTTAATTCTAACCCTTGGATTGATTTGGAGGAGGAGGAAATAGCCTCTTTAGACACCCACTTGCTACAACAAGGGGTGGTTAGAGTCCTTACTGTGCAGCACACAGATGTCCTGTCCAATTGCTGCTGTCTGGCAAGGATTTGTTTATGTGTACTATGACACTTGAGCCTTTGCACTCTCCCACATCCCCAGGCCTCTCCCCTATTCTTTTATTTTAAAGAAAAAAGAAACCAACAACAACAACAAAAACTCCCAAATGATAGCAATACAGAATTTCAAGACAAGATGGTAAGAATTTAACAATGGTTGTTACATTGTATATTATTATCTTGAGAACAGTTGCTCAGATTGCCAGATACATCTGAGAATTGTATATTCAGCTGCCCATTTTTGGAATGACTATTTGAATTTGGTGGGCCTAGTTTTTTCAATTCTTTGTACGTTCTAGATAGAAGTCCTTTGTCTGAGGAACAGTTGGCAAAATTGTTTTCCAAATCTGTGGGTGTTTTTTTCACTGTTGTTAATTTCTTCTGAGGTACAAAAACTTTTTAACAAATGTTGATTCTTTGAAGTACTTCCCTGTGCAGTTTGGTTTTTGTTCACAAACTCTTAAGCCTATTCCTTTGTATTCAAGATTTCTACCTACTTTGTCTTCCAGTAGGTTTAGTGTTTCTGTTTTTATATTTAGCACTTTGGTCCATTTTGACTTTAATTTACTACATGATGATATTCCTGGGTCAAATCTTAAGTCTTCCACATGTGGAAAGCCAGTTTTTCCAACACCATTTATTAAAGATTCTTTCTTCCAGTGAACATGTTTGGCCCCTTTGTCAAAGAGGAAGTGGTTGAATGTGTTTGTAGTTTTATCTGCATCTTCTATTCTGTTCCATTTATCCTCGGGTCTGTTTTTTTTTGGGGGGGGTAGTTTGTTTTTTGCCAGTTCCATGCTGATTTTATTAGAGTAGCTTTGTAGTATAATTTCAAGGCAAGGATTCTGATGCCTCCTGTCTTGCCTTTGTTGCCCAGGATTGCCTTTGCTATTGCCTTTGCTATCTCTTCCATTTCTAGATGAATTTTTGGAATGTTTTCTCTAGATCTGTAAGGTATGCTAATGGTATTTTGATTGGGATTCATTAAATCTGTATAACAGTTTTGGGAGTATGGCCATTTTCACAATATTGTTCTTCCTATCATGAAGAGAGGATCTCTTTCCATTTTCTGAGATCCTCTTCAATCTCCTTTTTCAAAGAACTAATTTTCAGTATCGATTTTTACTTTCTTAATACTTAATACTTAGGTTGAATCCTAAGTATTTCATTTTTTGGACACTATTGTGAAAAGTGTTGATCCCCAATTTCTCTCTCAGTGAGTCTGTTGTTTGTGTATAAGAATGCTATTGATTTTTGAGTGTTGACTTTGTATCCAGCTATGTTGCTGAATTTGCTTATTAACTTTCATAGTCTTAGGGTAGAATTTTTGAGATCTTGTATCTAGAGTATCATGCAATCTGCAAATAATAATTTAACTTCTTCCTTTCTTATCCTTATTCCTTTTATTTCTTGTTTGTCTAATTGCTCTGGCTAACATTTCCAGAAGTTAGTGAATAGGAGTGATGATAGTGGACATCCTTGTCTTGTTCCTGATTTTAGATCAAAAGCTTTCAGTTTTTGTCCATTTAATATAATGTTGGCTGTTGGTTTGTCATCAATGGCTTTTATCAGATTGAGGTAAAGACCATCTATTCTGATTTTCTGTAGGATTTTTATTATGAATGAGTGTTGGACTTCATTAAAAGCTTTTTCTGCATCTATTGAGATGATCGTGTGATTTTTGTCTTTGACTCTCGTAGCATGGTGTATTACATTTATTGATTTGTGTATGCTGACCCATCCCTGCATTCCTTTGATGATTTGCTGCATTCTTTTTGCCAGTATTTTATTGAAGATTTTTGCATCTATGTTCATTAGAGAGATTGGCCTGTAGTTCTCTTTTTTGCTTGAGTCTTTTTCTGATTTTGGTATCAGGGTAATACTTGCCTCTAGGAATGAGTTAGGGAGAATTGCTTCCTTTTCAATTTCCTTAAAGAGTTTGAGAAGTATCGTGAGGTCTTACCTGAATTCAATCTTGTAGAATTCCGTCGTTAATCCATCAGGACTGGAATTTTCTTTGTTGGTAAATTTTTAATGACACATTTAATTTCATTAACTGATATTGGGTTATTCTGAATATTTATATCTTCTTGATTCAGCTTTGATATTTCATACTTTTTTAAGAATCCATTTCTGCATTTTCCATCCTGTCCCAGTAAACATTTTTGAACTAGGTATTGATGATCTTTTGAGTTTTCACAGGACCTGTAGTGATTTCTTTTTTCAATGCAAGAATTTGAGTTTTTTCTTTGTTTCTTTTTTTTTTTCCTAAGGTTCGTTAGGGGTTATCAATTTTGTTTATTCTTTCAAGGAAGCAACTCTTCAATTCATTATATTGTTTATACAATTCTTTGTATTCTTAGTCTCAACTACATTAATTTTTGCTATGCTTTTTATAATTTCCCTTCTATGGGCTTTGGGCCTAACTTGCTCTTCTTTTTCTAGAAACTTGAGTGTAGCATTACATTGTTTATTTTGTGCTCATTCTGTTTTCCTGATGTGAGAGTTCACTGCTTTAAGTTGCTCTCGTAGGACTGCTTTCATTGCATCCCACAGGTTTTGGTATGTTGTATTTAAATTTTTATTTGATTGTAGGTATTAATTTCATCTTTAAATTCATCTGTGATCCATTGGTTGTTCAGGATGGTGTCATTTAATTCCCATGTGTTTGTGGAGTTTTTGCAGTTTCTTTTGACGTTAATTTCAATTTCATTGCACTGTGGTGTGCTAATATGCATGAAATAATTTGTTTCTTTACATTTACTTAAGGATGTTCTGTGGGCTAGTAAATGGAGAGAACATCTTTGTGCAACTGAAAAGAATGTGTATTCTGATATTATTGGTTGGAATACTCTGTAAACAATCTACTAAGTTCATTTGTTCATATATTTGATTCAGTTCTGTTATTTCTTTGTTGATTTTTGTCTAGTTAATCTATCTCTTTGTAATAATCAGATATTAAAGTCTCCCAGTACAATTGTGTTATTGCTTATTTGATTTTTTCATGTCTATTATGTTTTATATAGTTGGGTGCTCCCATATTTGATGCATATATATTTATGACTGTTATCTCTTCCTCTTGAATTTTTCCCCTAACAAGTATATAGTGACCTTCTTTATCTCTTTTGATCATTTTTGTTTTGAAGTTCACATTGTCTGCAAAGAGGACCGCTACCCCTTGTTTTTTTTCAGAATCTGTTGCATGGAATATTATTTGCCATACTTTGACTTTTAGTGTGTTAGTTTCTTTTTAAGTTAAATATGTTTCTTGTATTTAGCACATTATTGGATCTTGTTTCTTAATCCATCCTGCCAATGTGTTTCTTTTCATTGGTGAATTGAGGCTATTTACGTTGATGGCTATAACTGATATGTACTGATTTATCTTTGCATGCTATTTTCCTTTTGTTGGTTCCCTGGTTTTCCCCTCTGTTTAATTGCTTACCCTGCCATGGTTTCTTTTTGATGATGTTCTTGAAATTGTGGTCATGTTTGTGTCTATCTAGAATATCTCTCAGTACTCTTTGTAGGATTAATTAGCTAGTCGTGAATTTACTCAGTTGTTCTTTGTTACAGAAGTATCTTATTTTTCCATTAATTTTGAAAGATATTTTTTCAGGGTACATCAATCTGTGTTGGAAATTGTTTTCTTTCAGGGCTTGAAATATTTCATTCCAAGTTCTTCTTGACTTGAGCATTTGTGTTGAAAAGCCAGCCATGATTCTGTTAGATTTCCTTTATAGGTGATCTGTTTCTTTTCTTTAACACACTTTAATATTCTGTTTTCATGCTGGATTTCTGGGATCTTGATTATTATATGTCAAGTGTGGATTTATTTTGGTCAATGGCGAGAACAGAAGCCCGTTTCCAAACCCTTTCTTACAAGTTGCAGCAGCTTCCAGTCAATGGCAGGACCCACCCCCACCTCATTTTTCACTTCTCATTTTGAGATAAGGTCTTGCTGAGTTGCTGAATTGTCCAGCCTGGGCTTGAATTTTCAGCCCTCCTGCCTCAGCCTGCCAGAATGCTGGGATTACAAGTGTGGGCTACCATGCCTGGCTGTTTGGCAGGGGTTTTGTGTCAAATGCCTAGTTTGGCAAAGTTTAGAAAATAGTTGAAAAGGAAAAAATGTTTACACTGCTACATCTGACCTCTGTATTTAGGTACTTCTTAAATGAATTTTCTGTAGTTGAAGTCTTTCTGGGAGCTGGGGAGTCTCAAGATGGAATCTGAGTCCTCACTCTTGGTCAACATGATTTATCTCCAGATGCAGAGTTCAGTGCATAGCTTCATGTCCATGGGACATTTTCACACCTGAATTCAGTAAAAATGTTTTATTATGTTTATTAAATTCAGATACTAAATGATAAGCTATGAACAAATTTTTCATTTCTATTTTTTGGGGGCTTTTCATTATTATTGTTGTTGTTGTTTTAAAAACACTTGAGACTGCCTGTGTTAAAATGTGCTCTATGGAGCTGGAAGTGGTGGTACAAGTTTTTAATCCCAGCTGCTCAGAAGAATGAGGCAGGGGGATTGGAATTTCAGTGCCCTGGGTAGCTTAGTGAGATCCTATTTTAAAATTTTTTTTTTTAAATTATATATATATATATGTATATATGTATATATATATATATATATACATATATACATATATATATATGTATGTATATATACATGTTATATGAACTTTCTTATCCTAAAATAGTTTCCCTTTCCTTTTTATATTGCACAGGGCATATTGTCTACTGGGAATAAATTGAGTATCTTAGAAACTCGTAATCCTATTGGATATGGTAGTATGTCCTGTAACATCTACTCAGGAGGCTAAGGCAGGAAGCTCACAAATATGAAACCAATTTGGACAATTTTAGAAGTCCCTGTTTCAAAATAAAAAGGACTGGGAATATAATCCAGTGTAAAACACATGGCTAGCATGCATGAGGGCCTTGATTCCTTCCCCAGTACTGAAAAAAATAAAAACCAAAAAAAAAGTTACTACAAACATTCTCATTGAACAATCAAGTTTCATTCCTTTGACTAGGTCACTAAATGAATTGGTTGCTAAATGAGGGACTGCATATAGTATGTACATTATTATAATATTCACAACAAAGAAATAGTCAAAGGAAACTCCCACTGAATGACTTTGCTTTTATTTACATACCTCTTACATGCATTACTGTTATATATAATAATATAAAACTACTACTGTACTGTACAGTACAATCAGTAAAGATTATAGTACTACATAAACAAGGTGTACTGTATGACAAAGACACCGAGGCTCTATAAGTAAGATTACAGAACTGTACCCAAAAAGGGGGGAAGGGGGGGTCATAAGCCCGAACAGTGAATCTTGGTGATAAGTCTGAACAGTCATTAAATAGATAGGTCATTAAACAAGGAACATCTGTAAACCAAAGGTTGAAATTGCTTTTTCTGTAGCTATTCTCCAGTGCATTTGTGTTTGTCACCATTAGTTACCTAATTATTGAAAGTCTTTCACAAACATTTCTCTGAAGGCCTGGGACAGTGGTGATGAATCTATGACATGCATCCTATAGTGGACTGTTTGTTATCTTTGAAACCTGAGGGTTTTGTTATTTTTGATGTCAGGAATGTTAGGAAAATGCTGTTGTCAGAATGCTGGGACCGTCCTGTGGTAGGCCGTAGGCAATTAGGTGGACCTAGGGTGTGTTGAATGTACAGTATTCCTGAAGGAAGGCCAGCAGTATATAGCAGGAGGTGTCAAGGTCAGGAAGCTGTCAGAGATCTGTCCCATGTTTGCATGCTGTGTATGGAGCTTTCCTTCACAGCTAACACCTGTGACCTCCAGTTGTAAGACCAGAGCACGGCGCTGGGATGTACATCCTTACTGGGTGGCAGCCGTGGCAGTGACTGCCCATGTGAAATGAATAGACCGGAGTTGTTAGCAAATGAACAGCTGAAAAATGGGAGAACTTCACTGTACATGCAGTGTCCTCTATGTAAGGGCACGACTATTCATGAGCTCCAAGCCAGCTCTATATCATGCTTTCCTATGTCATGGGGCACCCAGTCAACCTGATCCTGGATGAAGACAATGCCCAGAGAAAGAAAGGAACAACCAGGCCCCATGATTGTGGACATTAAGTCCAACAACCCACTCTCACTCCTACCCTTAACTTACAGGGCCAAAATAGTAGAGACCAGAGGACTGATCACATTCCATATCTACCAACCAGTGCAAGGACCTACCTTGACTTGCATGGTAAACTCAGTCTGGGGCAAACAGATAGAGGAGTCTCTAGTGTACGGATGGAACCTCAAAAACCATAGAAAACTTACTGTGTGGATCCCAAGACTGCAGATTTTGGGAAGAACTCATTTGTTTTCTGTGACTAAATCTTTTTTTTTTTTTCTATTTTTCCTTCAGGTTTTTGTTGGGTTTCCCCTTTTCTCTTTTCAGTGTTTTTCTCTTCCTTTTCTTTTTGAACTATTTACCTTTTGTTCCTTTCTTGCAACTGTTGTCTATTACTATTAACTTTCTTCTACTCTTCAAATAGTATGCCCACCTCACTTTTTTTGCTTGCTCATATCCCATTGGGTAATATTTTAAATTTTGCTTTTTTCATTCCCCAGCTTCCCACCCTCTTTTACTAGTATAACTTAAACTTCTTAAATTTCAAAATACCTAGTTAAATTTGCAGTATTGCTTTTGAATACTGTTGTATCATTAGTACAGACAAAGTTGTTCCATTTAGTGGGTATTTACTATAGGGTAACTATAGGCCAACATTTGGTTTGTCTTAGTGTTGAGACTAACTGTAGATCTCTTGCCTACACTTAAGGATGGTGCAATGTTGGTTCTTAGGTTTTGTCATTATTCAATTCATGCTATTATAACATTATGCTATATTATGCTATAATTGGTACCAATTTTATCATAATAGCCAAGGTAATATACCTGTTGCTATTAATTGGTTTTCATGGGATGGCAATATCTGGGTTGCCATGGGTTCACTAACAGTACTATGACCCATTCCTGGAAAACCTGTTACTGGGCCAAGTATGCTCAATCTCCCATCTCAGGTAAAGAGAGGTGACTAGAACCTGGGACACAAACAAAGGCCAATAGTTAGCTATGCCCAGAGAACACCAATGAAAAGTAGATATTGACCAATCTTCATACTAGAAACAAGGCTTTCCACTATAATCAATCCACAAGACCTAACACATACACACAATAATAGTAGCGTAAGACAAGCCAACAAAATGCCTCCAAAAGCTGCCAACTCCTCCACAGGTGATCCATGGAGCACCAAAGAGGAAAAAACCCAAAAGCTGTGCCCCTGAATTATTTGAAATGACATAAGGGAAGGTTAAAGCAGATCAATAAAGCATTTTTCAAACTCACAGACAATATAAGCAAAAAGCTACAGGGATAAATAAAATGATCGATGAGTATAAAACATACTATGTAGTGGATTAACTAATGGTCAACTTGTAACATCCAGCTGAAATGAGTCAGCGTGGTTCTGGGTATGAAAGACTCACCTGAGTATAACTGCCAACAGCACAAGAGAAGAACTGGACAGGAAGATGGTGTGCTTTGATTCTCCTGGAGAAGATTGTCGTGCTGGTTTTCCTGATATCAACTCAGCTGTTCTCATTGTCAGAGGAGATTGGGTCCTTGCTGTCACTGAGGATGGCTACAGTTCTCTTCAGGGGAGCTCTAGTCCTTACGTTGAGCATTGCTTCCTGGCTGTAGCACAGATCCCTTAGCCTGTTGGCACAGATCCTTCATCTTGCTAGTGCAGGTCTCTTAATTTCCCCCACTGATCCTTATGCCTTTCCAGTGCAGATCCTTGATATAGACCTGCATGAGACATTGTCATGGGCTCTAGGCTTCCATCTGAACTCATGGGAGGACACTGCTATCAACTCTAGGTTTTCAGCTGGATGTGTGTAGGACATTGCTCTGCAACCCAGGTC